TTCCTCTGGGAGGGGCCATTCATCATCTGGCCTTACTCCCAAGTCGACCCCTGTTCTTTCGCTTGTTCCCTTCGTCTGGCCACTCTGCGCATGCACACACTGGGAACAGGCTCCAGCTGTTCTTCTGCCTCACTGATGTCTGACTCCGAAAGGCAGCTGATAACCGGCATACGGCTCTGGCCCCCTCTCTGCCTCCGACACAGAGCCCTCCTCAGAGCCTTCCCCAGACTCCAGGACTGGCCCATCTTCTTCCCCAACCTCCTCACTGTCCGAATCTGCCGCCAGCTCTGACGATGGGTCACAACAATTAAGTTGAGTTGTGGTCGAGAGTAGTAAAATCTGGAAAGATTCTGTCTCTTGCATTCTAGCAAATGAAAGAACTGAATCCGTGCGGGGATATTTTTTACCGTCGTTCTTGGGCTTAACCTGAAGCCCCTTTCCTGATGTCCATTGTTGATGTCCTCTGGGGTAAGACCCATTCCTACTTCTCTTTTCTTTCTCAGAGAGAAAGCCTACTCTGTTGGTAAATCCATGTGCGAGCAATTAAGGGACCTCATCCCACGACAAATGTTTGAAATTGCGATCCAGGCAGCTCTTGGCAACAAAATAATTGCCAGAGAAACGTAAGTCGTTATTCTCAACTTGGTTTTAAATGACAGCCTTTTTCTTTTCGGTTCTTCTAGCAATTTTTTTTAAAGCGGCTACTTGTCCTTGCTTAGTGACCATTCGAAGTTACAACGGCACTGGAAAAAAAAGTTTTTTTTTCCAAATTTACGACCGTTGCCGTATCCCCGTGGTCATGCGATCCATTTTCGCGACCTCACAATCTAGGGTGAAGCCAGATTCGCTTAACAACCGCGTTACTCATGTAACAACGGCAGCGATTCACTTAAGAAAGGCGACAGGAAAAAGTCGTAAAATGGAGCACAACTCAGTTAAACCAATTTCTCACTTAGCGTCAATTTTGATCGTTAAAGTCGAGGTCGACCTTTATAATCCTAGTTTCTAAAGCGGGCGTTTGAGATTGGAAATTAATCAATTAAATTTGGCCTTTAAGGAAATATGCCCCTTCAAAAAAGTAGGTGGGATGTATAGTTGGTCCTCAACTTATGACAGTTCATTTAGTGACTGATTATATTATATATACTATATCCAATTGTATGCGTGGCACCAGAGCCTAGAGGTGGAGCTCTAGAGTCAAAAAACAAGAGGGTGTGAGTTTGATCCTGGGTAGCGGCAGATATTTCTCTCTGGGCACAATGAATAATTATCTGCTGCGAACTCCATGTAGGTGCCAGGGAGGGCATCCAGCCAGTAAAGGCTCAGCTCCATTCAGTCACCTCAATTCCAACCCAATACAACGGACAGTTAAAAAGAAAAGAGAAAATCCAAATATTGTATTCCCGTAAGCATGAAAACGGGAACTTTAAATAAACTTAAATTTTTAAACGAATAAAACTTTAAATAAATGAAGTAAAATAAAGATTAATTTTTAAGTAGCTGCTCAGTGCCGGAGCGTTACCCATTGGGTTTGATTTCTTTCCTTTCCTATTGCAAAAAAAGATTTAAAAGAACACAAATTAGCAATGATTCGCTGCTTCAGAACTCCAAATTGCAGAATACTTTGGATTATCCTTTTAAAAGGCAACCCCAGTTCACTTTATTTTCCAGGGTGAAAGCTTTTAGAAAGGATGTGCTGGCAAAATGCGTAAGTATTATTTTTCCACCCCCCGTTTTCACAAATCTTAGTATTTCATTTTTTTAAAAAATTCTTCTTAATGTAAATTAGCCATATTTTTTTTCCTAAGTAAGATTTTTATCCCCTTCATTTAAAGTTTGAACCTGGGTTAAATTCACCTGGTGTGTTTTATATAATTCTTCACAGTTTTTAAACTTGTTTTTCATTATTTAGGATAATAGCAATGATGCGGGGGGGGGGGATCAAAACACTGACTAGTATTTTTTCTGGTTGCTATTGCGAATTATTAATTTCGGAATGAGGGGTCCTTGGCGGTCTCTGAGATTGCTTGTTTCCTGGCAGACATCTCATTACCAAACTGGGTAACATCATCAGTTAGAAGGGAGTGAGGTGTGTGGAGAGGAGGAAGAGGAGGAGGAAAGGATTATGGGGTACTTGGTTCTCTCCGAGCTTCCTTTTCTTGCAGGCGTTTCTGTTGAGAGTATACTTCTAGTGTTGGGTAGATTCAATATAGATTCATATACAATACCAAATGGTCGATGTTACTTTAAATGGGTGAATCAGCTGTAATTAACTTTACAATCAGCTGTAATTAATTTTACAATCAGAGTCAGGAAAGCTCTCTCCTGCTTTTCCTATGCTTAATAACTACTTACTGGAAGGTGAACTGCGACTGTAAGCAATTGTTTGTTCTTTGAATTGTGCTTGGACAAACGCCTACTATCACTGCTTGTGAAGCTATTAGTAGTAGTAAAGCTACTTTTTTTTTACTAGCAGTGTCTGAGACTCTATTCGTCTCTATTCGCAACCTTCTCTCTAGCTGTACATTCCGCTGCACTATTTTCTGTCTCCCAATGGAGATACCCCCTAATAGTTTCATTACCCAACTAGGTAACATCATCAGTTAGAAGGGAGTGGGGTGTGTGGAGAGGAAGAGGGGGAGGGGGGAAGGATTGTGGGGTCCTTGGGTGTTCTCTGAGCCTGCAGACGTTTCCATGACCCAAACTAGGTAACATCATCAGTGCTGGAACAGAGTGGGGTTTCCTTCTGGTGGTCTCTTCTAAGCACTGATGTTGTAACCTAGCTGGGTCATGGAACGTCTGCAAGAAAACCACCAAGCTCAGAGATCACCAAAGACCCTCCTCCCCTTCCTTTCTGTAAACCCTACTCCCTTCTCGCAGTGATGGTGTTACCTAGTTGGGTCATGAAACATTTGCAAGAAAACCACCCAGCTCAGAGACCACCAAGGACCCCCCTCATTTCATCCCTGAGCTACAAATATTCTCCTTTACTGGTGTTAACCCAGGAACTTTTTAAATGCTTTGTCCAACAGTACGGAGGTGACATTACCAGGAAAATGAAGCTTTTGAAGAGACAGGCCGAAGGGAAGAAGAAGATGAGGAGAATTGGAAACGTGGAAGTGCCAAAGGACGCCTTTATCAAAGTTCTCAAGAAACAGCTCGACAGGTAGCTCGCTTCCAGCTGTTGGCAAAGCCAAGCTTGAGGAATTGTTGAGCCAGCTGTTTACAAACCGAGGACTACCTTGAATTGGATCTCACCTGTTCCGCGTACAGATTTGGCATCGTTCTAATGGGCCCATCCAAGGAAGCAGCAAAACTAAAAAATCTAAAATATAGTTTAACATCTGAGGATATTGCAGCCAATTTTTGATGCCTTTGAGATGTCTGTTCACTTTTTTCCATACTTGATTACAGTCCGCGCCCTTGGCTGCACTAGATTAAAAAAAAAAACCTGGGTACAAATAGTTATCCTCAATTTACGACTACAATCATCCTCTTAACGACCCCGTAATCCCTTGCAGGGCGGAGTCTGGGCAACTGGATGGAGCTAGCAGTGTTTTGTTCTTTTTTACTGGCCGGATGCCGTTCCCTGTCGCCATTGCGGAGTTTTGTTCAGCTAATATATTCTCATCGTGCCGAGAGAGAGAGAGAAATATCTGCCTCTCCCTAGGATCGAACTCATAGCCTCCTGATTGAGGCGAGAGCTCCACTTTCTAGGCCACCGCACCACACTCAATTTACGACTGCAAATTTCCTCTTGCAAAATGAGGGAGTTTTGCCCCATTTTGCGACCTTTCTTGGCACAGTTAAGTGACTCACTGAAGTCGTTAAGTTAGTTAACATAGTTGTTAAGGGACTCCAACATTCCTGTTGACTCCTTGCTCAGATCCAATTTGAACTGAGCTGTTTTGTCAACTCTTTCTCCTGGTGGCTGCTTAGCTCCAACAATGGCTTCCTGTAGAGTGCAGTACTGCAGGCCACTTCAGCTGACTTGCTAGTTCAGCGGTTCTAATCTCACCGGCTCAGGGTTGACTCAGCCTTCCATCCTTCCGAGGTGGGT